AGGAGTAGGAGTAGGAGTAGGAAGTAGTCGTCGTCGTCGTCGTCGTGGTGGTAGTAGTAGTAGTAGTAGTAGCAGCCGCAGTTGTAGCGCAGTCGTGTAATAGTTGCAGTAACGAGAGGGGTAGCAAGGTAGCAGTGGCCAGAGAGGTCATCGCTTCCTCCGTAAACAGCCTTTGGGGACCCCCAGTGTACCACCTGCAATCAAAAGGGTTCCCCAAACCCGAAACCTCAACCCTTCTGGACCTATACGAGCAGCCCCAAACCGGAACTACGGTTTTGGGTTCAGGGAGGCTTTCTTGTTGAACTGTCTTTGTTTCAAGCTGCTGTTCAGAATCCCTGAAAATGCAGGGTTAGGGGAGGCTGGGGGGGAGTGTAGGGATGCCGACTTGAAGCCGCCGTGCCCACATCCCCCGCGGCCTGGGATCGGAAACGCCTCCGCCTCGGCCAGGCAGCTCCACCACTCGGAAGGAGACCTGCTTTTAGCCGGGTTGTAGTTCTTTTAGAAGAGGAGGCTCTGAAAAGGAAAATTGGGCGGTAAAGGCTGGGTGGATGCTGCCGGGGTTTTTCGTTTCGAGGCGGGGCTGCTGGCTCTGAGTGCTCTAGCCACGCTCCTTTCGTGAAGTTTACCCTTGCCTGTGGCGAGAACATCTCTCAGCTTGCTGGGCTTGGGCTCTTCGGAGAAATTCCGGAATCTCCCTGAGCTTTCAAGGTGTAGCAACAGGAAGAAGGCCTTAAAGGTGTCTCGCCACGGTGGGATGGCGCTACGATGGGCTGACCGAAGCCTCTGAAGGGCGTGCCTGAAAGGCTTTTGGCTATTCTTTGGGCACCCCTTTTGCCCGGACTCCTGTGTTTCTCTTGCTCCTCTGCGATGACGCGAAAACCCCGATAAAAACCTGTTGCGGGCCGGAAGAGCCTATGAACCCTGAACGCCAAACCACACCGGGCTTCAACCCTAAGAATCTTGAAACCTTTCTGAGCCCCAAACCCATACTCAAACGAATACCCTTCCAAAAACCCCCCTAACCATCCAAAGATGACCTCGGCCCACTGCTCTTGCTAGAGAAGAAAGCCTACGAAGAAGACCCTTCAAGCCGAAAGGGGCCCCCGGGCCCCGGGTGAGCCCCCCAAAGGATCCCGGCTTCTTTGGATGGAAGGCCACGCTGGAGGAGCCGCAGGGGCCCGAGAGTCTGGGCCGGCAGCCCTCGGCTCAGGGCTTTTTTTTTCAGCTTCGGGGCCCATGGCAAACCCCGAAGACAAGAATTATGAGCGCAGGGGATGCACCGTTTCGGTTTGCGCGAGGCGTTCCGAGTTCTGTGCCCAGGAGCCATGTTTCAAGCAAAGTTGGGTGCTTGGGGCTGTCTGAGATCATGTTGTTCTGCTGTGCAGGGCCCGGAGAGCTTCCTTCTTTGGAGGCGCGAACAACTACCAGTACCGCTCCTTAGGGCTCCTACCAGTAATAAGACTGCACCATACCGTGCCATGCCCCCCAAACCTGAGGCTACTTACAAAAGGCACTACGTTACATGCTGCTGCCGGCTGTGGTCTTTAGAGGCGTGCCTTTAAACCTGTGAGGAATACTGGTCTTGTTCCGGTTCACGTAAAGACTGGCGATATTTCCCTCACGGTTGTTCTGAGGCATGTACCTCCCTCACTCCCGCCTGCAAGACAGGCATTAGAGAGACAGTTTTGAAGTGGTTGAAAAGCCTTCCGGCCATGCGACTCCGCACCTATTCAGCAGCTGCTAAGCCTGTCATCGACTCACAACTTCCGCATGAGACACCAGTCTAACCAGTTCAACTCAGCGAAACCCAGCGAAACAACGTTAGTGAGCCGACTGGAGGAACGTGGATTGCACTTAATAAGTGCAAGACTCTGCTTGGTTCACATGCCCCTTGTGACTTGTTAGCCTGCTTGGATCTTCGAATCCTCTGAGTTTTCCATGCCTCCGATGCATTCTTCGGTTCTGAAAGTCTAGCGGAGAGCGTAACATGCGGATTCTTCAGGGAGCCCCTCACTTCCGCGACAGAGCTAATGGACAGCCGGAGGAGGCTTTCCTTCTCAATTCAGGGCTCCTCTGATGGGATCTATAATAAGGGTTCGTTTCCAGGGAGCCATGAGGGTCTAGTGACTAGTGTACCTCAGCACAGCTGGACACTGATAATTTTCGGCCCAAGCGGCCTTTTCATGGAGGAGCTTGGGCCAGGCGGGAATGGCCTAGGCGCGCAGTGCTCTCTGCAAGCTCGTTCTCGGAGACGGCCCCAGCCCCAAACCCCGAACTCGGATTCCATTCGAGCGATGAGAGTTAGGAGTCGGAGCGCTGGTTGCATGTGGAGTGAGCGGACGGCTGCTGGGAGGTGTCTGCTTCATGATATCTTTGCGAGCGGGAGCCTTTGCTTGCTTCGCAACTCCAGTTCCTATGAGCGTGTTCACATTGAGTCAGCGAGCAGGGGCCCATCTCCCCGAGCGAAATCTCGGGAACCTTATTCTGAACTGCCTCAAGCCACCTTCACCTTCGGACAGGGCAGCTGCACGGGCACAGTTAAAGAGCTTCTTCTCTCAGCAAAAAGAAGCTCGTAGATAGTTTTGGTGGCATCGCTCCCCACACCCCGGAGCATCAGCTCCGTGGCAGAAGCCCTCCGCACTCGCCGGCTTGTGGTCAGCCTCTAAATCCCGACGAGACCACGATGAAACAAAGACGGGAAGAAGATGATAGCACCGATGGGGATGTGGGTGGTGACAATGACGATGGTGATGATGGCGCGTTCTGTGGTGGCACGGGTAACGGGGATCAGCACACTTTGGCTTGCCGCCTTGGTGCAAGCCGCACTGAAGGCTTCCAGGTCTCTCAAGGCCCCGTAGTTTTAGGCTCGAGCACGGTTGACTGCGGAACTGTCTGGGCCCCAATATCGGGGCCTTCCAAGCAGAGGGTTAGTATCAGAGTAGTTACTACGTTGGGACTATGAGTGGAGATTGCTGTAATATTCAACCCTCTGTAGCAAGCTTTGGGCCCTAAACTCGAAACCGTGTAGTCAGCCCTGGACTGCTTCCTCCAGCCGGGCGCTTGACAGATGCCCCAGCACGGCGCAGGCAGCTCTCTAGCCAGAAGTCCTGTTCAGGACAGAATCCCACCTTTAGGGTTTAGGGTTTTGGATTTGGATACAGAACCATGACGGAGCTCTTGATGCATGTTCCACAAGACGCCAATACTCAAGGACAACAGGGCAACAAGGCTGCGAAGTCTTGAAGCTTGGGATGTATGAGAGGGAGCTATTATGCACGTCGGCTTCATACGGGCGCTTCAGAAAATTACCGAACCCTCACATAAACCCTGCTTGGGCTCCTCGTAGGCGATGGCCCCGCAAACGTCCCTTGGCTGCATGCTTTGGTGCCAGCGGGGTCGCAGCGGATCTAGCACTGATCCGGCACCCTACAAAAACTCTCCATTGTAGCTGCGTTTTGTGGTCAACCCAAGTTGTGTTGGGATCCTATACTACGGAAAAGGGTCACCAAAAATGGAACTACATAGCAGGCTGTAGGAGATCCAAGAACTCTAGACTACTCTCAGCACCCGAAGTCTTTTTTGCTGGCTTGAACGTCCCAGGAAGGGAATGTCGTGTCCCATTTAGCGGCTAAATTCTGAGCCGGTTTAGAGTTTCGGGCCCGCTTCAACCTGACCATAAGCGTCGGTGCTCTAAAAGGAACCTGTCAGGTGACAATCATGGCGTGTAAAGGCAGCGGAAACGACGGTGTACCAAAAGCTTTATGCAGATGCATCTTCAGATATTGCCCGAACCCCAAGACCTCTAAAAAGTAAAACGATATAAACCGAAGCCTAAACCAACGCAGCTAAAAGCCGTGTTCACACCTCTGTTTGGAGCTGGTGCCGGCACATGCAGTGATTCCTTAGAGTAGGGAGTACCTTGCTTCATGGCCGTTTTCAGATGGCACCTTTTTTTGGGTCTGTATGAAGACTACATAGCCTTACAAAAAGGAACCTCCCATTTCGGGTCTCCTCTCAGTTTCTGAAACTCCCGCGTCTCTGTAAATCCGCGCGGCCACTGGATGGCTTTCAGGGCCTCACCAGTGCCGGTTGCAGGGTTTGGGGCGTTGGTAGGGCTGATGCTCTCGCAACTCGGGCTCTGCCAGACGACGTTTGGAGCCCCCAAGTCCCGGGCGAAGACAGTCCAGAAACTGTTACACGATGGTGCGGCTTGTGGTTTAGGATGTGTCTTCGATGTACACCTGAATGTATACATGCGCTTACAAGTTGAACCTACACTTGCACACATGGATGTGCATGCATACATGTATATGTATGTATG